TTTGTAAGGCCTAAAACCAGCTTTGATAGGTAAACTATGCTCAATCAAACTCCTTTCTAACCGTAGCATTTTCAAATAATCCCATGCTAGACAATCCGTATTATCTCATATCGATTTGATCATTTTCTTTTGTTGTTGTCCAGACAACATACCGCGTACCCAGAACATTTTTGGAACCTAATCGGTTCCAATATTATACTCAATAAGAAGATTTTTGTGTTGTAAATGATAGTTCTGTCTTCTCGAACAAATCTGGCCAACAAAATTGTTCAACATCTTCCGCTGCAACACTTACGTCCTACAACCTATTTAAAAGTCGCCCTAAGTAATATTGATTAATTATCATACTACACTCGCTTATGCTGGTACCTTCCATTACAAACTTAAAACGGTAATAAATATTTTGGCTATTAGTGAGCCATAATATTGAAAAGGGAATTATTCTATCAAAAGAACATATACCCTTGGTTGGTGAGCCTGCAGCTACACCATGGATACTTGCTAACTAAAGCAATTTTTGAGATTGGTGGAATATGCCGGGAATAAAGCGCAGATTCTTCTAAGGTCTCTGAAACACCAAAGGGGTTGTCACTAGCTTCCATTTTGAAAACTTGATTAACCTCCCAGAACATTAGTTGTTGATGCAGAGATGAAGGCACACATTAAGACGCATGAATCCAATCCCTTCCTAGCAGCACTGAATATGTGGTATTTGTATGTACCACAAAGAAAACAATGGATATTATTTTTGGCCTTACCTCTATTGGAGCCACCATCATACCTTCTGGCTTGGTTGGTTGTCCCGTAAAACTCGTCATTTCAATGTCTACGGGTGACAGATCAATAATTGTTTTGCCCAACCTTTTGAGTGTCTTTAAAGGCATAACATTAAAGACATTTATGTTATCAATGAATACCTTACTGATTGGCTTACCACATATATGAGCGTCGACATAATGGGGCTTCAGATGGGGAACCATTCCTTCAGGGATGGGAGAGAAAGTTATTGGTGGAAAATTATCCATTGATGGATTTGGATTTATTATCCTTGCCCATTCAGGTTCCTCCAGACAATGATTAGCTAAGCTAGCCCAAATAGACTGCTCTTTTTTCTAGCGCAATCCTGACATCCTGACCTCGAAAGGGGATCGCCCGATGGCTTTATCCGTCTGTTTTTCCATAAGTGACTGAACCTAAGTTGGTGAGAAAGACCCGAACCGAACTTCACGACAGTCTTCCTAGATCTCCATTATAGTTGGATCTATATTGATTCTCTTACAGTATTGACACCTGTAACACTTTGCTTTCTTAATAGGCTTCTCTTTATCCTCTTTATGCATGGTTCTATAGTCCGTTACCGTATCCATGGCGTATCCAGGGATACTCGGATCCCGAGTTCAGACTCTGACGTACAAAACGCTTTGCTGTTAGTACGACGACCGTGCCTAGCACCATATCTATGTTTAGCATTACGAATCAGAGTATGGTTCATACATGAGAATTGAGGGTCAATATCTACTGATAAAAGTTTCCTATTTCGACTTCATCTACTGCTGGTTGCACAAGACTTCCTAGTCGGACGATCTCGGACTAATAACCGATCTTTAAGTTCCACCTTGTACGTCCCGTCAGGATGTTCCTACTTTTCTGAAACTCGGTCTTCAGATAGTTTGAATTCCTCCTTCTGGTTCTCATCTGGGCGCGCCTTCTTTTGAAATCCTTTGTTTGGAGCAGCTCCGATTGTGGCTATCGTTATTTTGAGGAACGACTATTGTTCTACTCCCAGGGTGACATATTTGAAGCGTCCAACTTTGGTGGCCCTTTGATTTTTCTTTCTGAAATGTGTACACTGACTTGTACTATGGGTAAACGAATTATGCCACTTGAAATAGAGCCTTCATTTGATTTCTTCTTTCGTAGCCAACTGGCCTTTAGGAATCCGGATTTTCCCATCCGCCAGTAGGATGTCAAAGATCTCATCTGCCTTAAAACCGTCAAAAGTTGGTTGATCTTTTCCTTTCATTCATGGGATTGGCTTCAACTTTGGGCAAACATACGGTTTTTCACTGACTACTTCTGTCGTCATTTCTTCCACTTCCATCATTAAGTCAACCTCAGGGGTACATGACTCTACCTTTATACTGGCCATTTATTGAGCTTTGCTGCGCCGAAAATTATGATCTTTCTCTCTGAACAACGATTCCAAACGTCCAACTTTAGATGCTAGACTAGCAAGATCTTCGACATCATGGATGGTTAGTGCCTCACGTAACCGTCCATGCATGTTTCGGACCACGAGATTGGTCATTTCATTTTCTTCTATCACTGTCGGACATCTGCCATTCATTAAAAGGATTCTTTTTCTATAAATTGTGCAGAAGATTCTTCTAGCATCTGTCTAATTTCCAACAAATTAGTCAGAGATACCGTTTGAACAGGACTGAAAAACCTGGCATGAAAAGCTGATTCCAATCCTTCCCACGTATAAATCTTCCCATGTGGCAGGTTGACAAACCAAGAGAAAGCCGTTCTGGTCAAAGATAGCCCAAACAACTGTAATTTATAAAAAAAGATTGTTACCAATTTCTCCCAATTGAGCCGTGAAGCATCCCACATGCCTGATAGTCGACGATCCATCTTCTCCCAAGAATGTGTGAAAATTGGGTGGCCGATAATTTCTAGGCAGAGGGTGATCTTTGATTATTCTTTCCGGAAATGGTCGTTGATATGCTGGTTGGTTTGCTACCTGGGGATTCATGCCGAAATGGACCCTCAAAACATGTACGATCTCTTCTGGGTCTAACCTGAATGGGAAATTATCCAGCATCAGGATAGGATCATGTGCTTGACCCCCAGGTTGATCCTCTCTCTGTAAACCTGTCTGTAAAGGATCAGTTGTTACCCCCAGGAGAATGTTGTTAGGAAAAGTTATGAGAGTTTTTCCCCTATCTGCCCTACTAGGGTCTGTAGCACTTGGAATGGTGCTATTCACAAATGATGTCCCTGCAAAGTTCTTCTGCAGACGCGAATGAGATATTCCTGTAGGTGTAGGCACGGAATGCAGTGTGACTCTCGATACGGCTTGATCCATCATATTTTGCATTAAGTTTTATTGCTCGCACAATTTACTTATATGGTTTTTGTTTGCTAATTGTGCATTTGTTGAACATGATTTAACTATTTATATGGTATCTAAAATATGACCCTCGTGGTGGGGATTGATGGTGACGTTGTCTTGGTGCCACCGATAGCTGTACTGAGGCTTTGAGATTGAAAACCTGTCATGAGGTTCCTTGTAACTATTCGACCATATTATAGCTGTATGAAATTATCGTTGGACGTAGGATTAGCAATTTTGCCTCGACTTCCACTATGACCGCCAATTTGTTGATGTGGATTTTCAACAATAAAATGTAAAATTCGAAAATATATTCCGAACTTGAAATAAAGAGTGTCAGAAATCACAAATCCCTAAAACAAATTACATAAAGAACTAAAAAAATGCGCTAAAAACCGATAAATTTAAAAGAAGTGATCCTCAATAAGGCTTTTCGTGAGATGATTGGAGATACTATTTCCATCCTCCATCAGTTTCTTAAATAAAGTCCCACTTGAACTGTCTGAAAATTGTCTCCGAGTCGGTTACCCAAAGTCGTCCATTGAGCTGTTGTCGGTTGCCTTCGGAAAACCTTCTGCTAACACGTGGTAAATCGTAATCACAACTGACCAACCGACAGTTTCAATCAGTTCCTTCACAACCATTCGACCCAATAATCGAATTCGGACGGCCCCCCTTACCCGATGCGCCCGACCAAACAAATCCGATGGTCGGTTGGTTTCCGTAAGTCGAATCTACCAAAATTCACTAATAGCCCACCACTCACCCACACCTTTTCTTTTTCTTGAGCCAAAATATTATTTTAAATTTTTGTGTTCAACAAAATTAATAAAACAAATTTGAATAGTGTATTTTGAAATAAATGACAAAAGTTCATATATATTATTAACATTGTAATTTTTTCGTAATTATACCGTGTTTACCACGGGGCTTCCTGCTAAGATATAATAAGATGTCTTTCCTACATCTCGTTCGGTTTAGAGCACGAACAATGGCTCAATAATAGAAGCCCATCTCCTGTCTGTTCAAGCTTTCTCTCTCCTTTGTTGATAAAAATGTCACAGTTTTGAATTAAAATTTTGACTAAAATGTGTTTGACAATTAACCGATAGTTTTTAGTTGTTAGCTGATTCAATTAGTTGTTAGTTATTAGCTGATTTAATTAGCTGGTTTGACTAGCTGATTCAATTAGCGGTTTGTATTCAAATGTTTTATAAAACAACTGTTTGACATTAGTTGTGTATATATAAAATAACTATTAAGAACATTGATATGTTATTTTTTAAAATATTTAATTTTGTTCATTTTGGTTTAAAATTTATGAAAATTTATGTTATTAATTATTGAAAATTATAAAATATTTATTTTTGTTTTTATTATTTAAATATAAAAAAATTATTTTTATTAAAAAACAATGATAATATAAAATAATCATCTTTAATATATATTTTTTTTATTATGTTAATTATTGTTTTAATATATATAAATAAATTAATAATCATTGTTTTTTCTATTTGATTTGGTTTTAAAAATTTATATATTTTACAAATAAAATAATTTATATATTATTAATAATAATTATTTTAAATTTATAGAAATAAAAATATAATTTAATAAATTAAATATATTAAAAAAAATTAATAAATACCGCTATAAAAATATAATTATATGTATAAAATAAATAATTAAATTTTAAGGGTAAATAAAAAATAATAAAAATAAAATAAAAAAGATTTTTCAAAATATTGGGTAAATTAACTTTTCAAAAATTAATTTTTTTTCAAAAAGATTTTTTAAAAAATTAATTTACCAAATATCCAAATTAACTTTTTAGATCCTTCGACACGCTGACTTTAGGATGACACGTCGGCGGGAAGGGCTCAATTGAGGCAAGAGCCCTTGTTAGCTATCCTCTTGTCATTCCATGGCGACCCTGGTCATGGAAGCACTACAAACCACCGCCGCCGTCAAAATTCACCCTACCGTAACCTCGACATTTTCAGTTAATCCTCGACTATCTTATGCAGGCAAGGCTACGACCCACACCCTCCAATTTCCCCTTAGTTGCTCATCTTCTTCTGTATTAAGAACGGTAAGAGCAGAGGCCGGTTCAATTTCGGCTCCGTTGGCCGCTCCTTTTGGTGAAAACAATGTTGATTATGGTAATCGGCATTGGATGGTGCTCCTGGAGGCCCCTCCTCGCGAACTCGCTGATAAACCCCGAATTATCGATTTCTATGTGAGCAAACTACAGAGTGTTATGGAAAGGTATGTGCCTGCCCAACAATCATCAGAATATTTAGTCCGTATGCCTTTGACAGTTTTGGTATTATATTTTGGTACTTTTGGTTGAGCGTGTTTTTAATTGAAGATTTCCATTGCCCTAATGTAGATAATATGACGTTTTTTCAAACTTTTGAAGTTTTGCTTGTGTGGTTACAATGAGTTCTTATTGTTGGTTTCTGCCTGAACAGTGAGAAGGATGCTCAAATGTGTATCTATGACGTGTCCTGTGACTCCCATTTTGGTTTCTGCTGTGACATTGATGAAGAAACCGCACATGAACTAGCAAGTATGCAGCCATTTACATTTTATAAACATTATGTGAAGCTAAAAGTAGAATCATGAAATGAAGTGAAGCTAGTTTGATAAGAGATAAGTTTACTGTGTGTGTGTAAAAATAATTCCAAAAGTATGTAAAATGATGTTGGGAAGACGTGTATATAGAGATCAAATTATTAAAAATGAAATCATTTTAATTAATAACAAAATCAAGAAGCTGTTGGAACCACCTGTCCCCCAATTAGCTGAAACATTAGCAGTGAATTTCTAAATGGTGTTTTTAAATGCAAGCAGTGCCTTGGTGTGTTTTGATGTTGTCCTTGAGTTTGTTTATGCTTCGAAATGTAAAAGACAGTGACAAAGAAATAGAGTATAATCTAAAGAAATAATTTCCTTACACGATGCGTTGCAGGTGTTCCGGGGATAAAATTAGTTAGGCCAGACCCTCACTATGATTCTGAACAGAAAGATTACAGTTTTTCGAAGATGGAATTTAATATTGAATCCACTTCATATGAGAGTACATTGTTGTTTCCTTCTGGAACTGCTAAACATTGGACTGTTCGGTTGGAGAGGCCTGCGATTGGAGGCATCAGGAGAGCTCAGTTGGTTGATTATTACGTCCAAGTTCTAACACGGGTTTTGAGGAAGTAAGCGTTTACTTTCTTGCATTGAGTGATACTTCGATGCACTGATATTCCTGTTAAGATGTTTATTAGGAAGTTGTTTTGTCCTGCAGTGAGAGGGATGCTCAAATGTGTATATACCATGTCTCCTGGCAATCCAACTATGGTTTTTGTTGTGAACTGGATGATGATTGTGCCCGGGAGTTAACTGGTCTGTAGTGCGTTTTGCATCCATCAATGATGCCTTACGCTTATTACGTCTTGTGTTAAAATAGATATTCTGTGCAGCTGTGCCTGGGGTTCTGTCAGTCAAACCAGACGAAAATTTTGGATCAGATGATAAAGATTATGGAGGTTTGCACTTCTTAATTCTTGAAATCATTACTACTTTATATGATCTTTACAGCCTTTTGATTTCAAATTATTTCAAATATGTAATGTTTTGTCTCTCTTTTTCTCTGTTGGAGAAAAAAGAAAAGAAAAAAGATAATTCAAGTTTACATTTTCTTGTACCTTGTTAAAGGGATTGAGACTTTTTAACACTGTAAATTCCCGGTCTTGATTCAGAAGGTTTAGGATCTGTTGACACACACACACTACATTACATTTATATAACCCTTCTTAATGCTAACAACTTACTATTGAACAGCAAGAATTTTGAACGTAATCAATATACGTGCATGCTGCAGGTGAAAATACTAGAGCCTCTGAAGATTCCTCTTCATTAAGCAATATCAAAACGAAAAAGCTCTTCGTGACAGGTAATCTTTAAAATCATCCACCTGAAACTTCTGTCCATGAGTAATATTATTTGATGTTCTGCTTGTGCTATTTTAGGGATAACGTTGTGCTGCTTTGCAAGTAAAATCTTTTGCGACATGTTACATCTGGATCATGTTTGACAATGACTAGAGCTATTTGAGATGTTATTAGATTATATAAACAATACCGGTATTTTAACATAAGTTCCTAAAATATCGTGTTACTATAAATGAATAATATGCATAGAATCCCTATGTTGTGCACAAATGAATGGATCTTATGCATCTCTTTTATTGACATACAGGTGAATTATACAATAAAATTTACACAGAATGTTTTATGCATTTAAAGTAAAATACAAGTGATCATCAGGCTACCCTTTTGTAATCCCAAACTTCCACAGTGCTGTCGAAAATTAGTATTTGACTTCTTTCAATTGTTTTTTGGTTGTAAAATTTTCCTTGATTATACATAATAAGGCCAAAAGGCAGCAGGGATGTTATTCGGTGTTTCCCATACTATGATCCCTGAACAACGGTTGATTATATTATAATTGTCTTTCAGTGTTTCTAGTTCTTAAACCACGTTATTTTTAGTGTTAATAAATGCTCGGCGCATTTGGAAAGTCTTTATGCCCAGAGTTAAGATCAAAAGGAACAATCCCACACAAGAACTTGACATTGAATGAGTGAATATGTTCAAAGTAATAAAGGTGTGATAGAGGATCTAAAGCATACAATTTCTCATTTCAGTTATTTCAGACAAAATGTCTGCCCAATATTTCGAATGGCATTGCTGTTGTCTCTGCAGGTCTATCCTTCTATACATCTGAGAAAACACTGCGAGCGGCATTTGAAGGCTTTGGCGAACTCGTGGAAGGTACAATGTCCTGTTCCGATTTACACACTTAAGTTATGCACATAACCTTTGTTCATCCAGTCTGCATTTCTGTTCCAACTGTATCAGTTAAAGTCATAATGGACAAGATTTCAAAGAGGTCTAAAGGCTACGCATTTGTGGAGTACACGACTGAAGAAGCCGCAGGCACTGCCCTCAGAGAAATGAATGGACAGGTAGCGGCAATGACCCTTTACACAATATGTATACTTTCAAAAATCCCATATCTGTCTTCCTGTTTGTTCTTCAGATTATCAACGGCTGGATGATCACAGTCGATGTTGCCAAGAAAACATCCCCCAACTATACCAGGGGCCAGCCCCGGGCTACACAGTGAGGCGCCGGTGCCACACTGTCTTTGTATCATCAAACATCCGGAAAGTTGTCCTCAGCAAAACAGCTGAAAACATAATGGTAACTGTCGAATGATTATTATTATTGTTGTTTTATGTTTGGAAACTGAAGTGAAGAGCAATGATCGATCTCAATTAGTTCAATCAATAACTAAGGATTGGTTGAAGGCTAGCTTAGCTTAGCTTAGCTTAGCTAGATTGTATTGTGCAAGTAGTCTAATGAATGAATATCCAAATTCTTTTGACCTAGGTGGTTGGATACGATAGTTAGTTAGGGGTGTCCATTCATGTTTTCGTGTTGGGTTGAGTCATGGGTAAACAAAAAAACTATCTAACTCGAACCCGACCCAAACTCAAAATTTGACCTGAAATTTTAGATCCGAATAGGACACAAAATTTTTTCAAAGTCTGGTTTAGGTTGACCTGAATTAGTTTTAAGTCACCCAAAACCTGAACAAATTTGATACGAAATAGACTCGAAAATTTAAAAAATAATAAATTAACTTTAAAAAGTTCATTTTTATTTTAAATTTTTTATATTATTTTATATTTAAAATAATATAAATATTATAAATTAAAGAGTAAACTGTTATTTTAGTCCGTAACTGGGCAAATGGACCAAATAAAAAAATTTTAAGGATAAATTGTTTTTTAGTCCCGTAACTGGACCTTCTTATCATTTTAGTTCCGTAAGTGGAACCTGTCGCAAATTAGTCTCATAAGTGAAAAATTTTCGCTGTTTTAGTCCTCCGACGCTGGAGACGCCCGTGTGGCTCGCCAAAGGTGACGTGTCCGCCAAGTGTCTCGCCAGGGCGAGACACTTGGCGGACACGTGGATTAATATTTTGTTTTAATTGGACCAAATAAAAAAAAATAAAAATATGCAAATAAAATTTAAAAATTAAAAAAATGAAAAAAAAGTATTAATCCACGTGTCCGCCACTAGCGGGACACCTGGCGGACACGTCACCTCCGGCGAGCTATGCGGGCGTCTCCGGCGCCGGAGGACTAAAACAGCGAAAATTTTTCACTTATGGGACTAGTTTGCGACATGGACTAAAATGATAAGGGATCCAGTTACGGGACTAAAAAATAATTTACCCTAAATTTAAATAGTTGTTTGATATTTATATAAATATGTGTTAAATTAATATTTTAAATATAAAATTAATTTTTTTTATAATATAATAATAAAACTAGAAGTTTGATAAATTTTTTGTTTAGTAAAAAAGTAGAAAAGTTAAAAGAGAAAAAAGTCCCAAGCAAACATGCCCAATTTGATATCTTAAACGAAAATAGTTCTACCTTCCGTTTCATTTTAATTTACAATTTTTTTATTTTTGTGTATCATTTCACTTTAGATTTTTCTATTTTATTAAAATTATAATATTTTACATATAGGATCACATAAAACATGTTTATTTATATATCTCTTATCAATCAATTTAATTAAATTTCTAATTTCTTAAAAATAGAATCTATTCAAAAATTTGTATATCTTTCTATTTCATCAATAAACAAATAATGATATTTGTTTTAAAAAAATTAGTTTAAAGTAATTATAAATAAATAAAAATATTTTTTTATTTAATTATTATATAAAATTTTATTTCTTGCATAATAATATACATGGTTTAAAATATTCAAAATACATATTCTAAAATTTTTTAATCATATATATATTAATTTTTAATTGAAAAATATCAATATATAAAAAAATAAATTAATTAATATTATATTCACTATTATTGAGTTACTAAACTCCACTCCCTTAAATATTGTACTATAAATAAAAAATATCAATTAAAATAAGACGAATAAAGTATTAAATTAATGATTTTTAAGGAAAAATTACTTGATAAATACAAATTTTTAATAAATTAAATAGAAAAGAGTTGAAATAAAAATATATAAGGATAACACAATTCTGTAAATAAGAATATATGGTATCTTTTCAAAATAAAAAAAGATATACTCAGATTAGTCTTAACTAAACGTATGTTCTTTCAAAATCACTTGATATAGATTTAATCTGACTCATAACCAAATAGTTACATTTAACTCATAATTAAAATTTTAATCTAACAAAATATTTATTTTTTTATAATAAAAATAATTATATATTAATACTAAAATATTTTTTAAATTTTACATGATTATAAATATATAATTAATTTATATATAAAATTCAAAAGGCACTTTGACTTTTTTAATTGAGACGTAACATATATATATATATATTATATTATAAATGGTATAGGCCCAAAATGACCTATAGATTATTAAACAATAATGTGTTTATTTGGAGAGTTTGATTTGAGATTTGAGTTTGAATAGTAAACTTTTAAATTAAAATTATATTTTTGATGTGAAATAAATAAATATTGATTTGACATACTCTCTTCATCATTCAAATGTGTGCTTATTTGATTTGACATAAGTTTTAATAAAAATGAGTAATAATTATTAATTTTTTTTTTGTAATAAAAAAAAAATACAAAAATGGAATGATTTTTTACTTAAAAAAAAATGAGAATATTTTTCGATGGCAACTCAAAAAAAAAAGTGAGCATAGATTTAAATGACGGAGAGAGTATTAAGTAAAAAATTAATTTTTAGTAAAAAATTAAAAATTAAAAATTAAAAATACATATTTGTTTGAGGAATAGAGGAATATGATTTATTTTTGGGACATGTGATCTCATATTTGGGGGATTTTAGAAGATTCCTATTCTTCTATTTTGTTTTTAGAAAATATAAAAACAAATATGTATTTTGTGTATGCATACACATTATGTGTGTGAGGATAGGACAATAAAAAAAATTATAATGGTACAGAAGATCCAATATGCTCAATCCATATAAAAAAGAAAAAATAAATAAATAAATAAATAAGACCCGAACGAAGGGAGTGTATAAATAAATAATAAAATTGTATTCCCTAATCCCCATACACATATCTCCTTAAATGGGCAGGTTAATGTGTTTTTTTTAGGTCGTGCTCAACAGGTTTTTAATATTATATATTTTGTGTGATTTTTATGATTATTTATTAAAAATATGAAGTGTTTTTGAAAATATATATATTTTTATTAAATAAATTATTTTTATTAGCAATTGTGGGTAAAAATTCTTTTATTAAAAACTATAAAATAATAAAAGAACGATCCCTTAAAAAAAACAAATTCAACATAGGGTGTATTTGTTTAGAATGTGTTTAGTTATTATTTAAAACTCAAATCATAATTATTCAGTTTACATAATTTAAATATATATTGTTATTTTTTTATTATATCAAAATAAATTTAAATAAAAAATTAAATCAAAACTTAAACATTAAAAAATCAACAGTTAAACTGAATTTAATTGCAAATTAGAATTTGAGTTGAGTTAAACTTTTTTGTTTTTTTTTTTTTGTTTTTTGTTTAATTTGAATTTTGTTTTTCAATTAAGATATATTTTTTTTCAATTAAGATATTTGAATTCATGTTTTTTTTTTTTTTTTTCCTCTTTAGAAGCAAACCAATTTTATTGCATTCTCATTTCAACCAAAATTCAAGCCTACAAATCTCCACAATAATTTAAAGCATAAATTATATAACACTCACATGTGCTTTTAGTAAAAATGTACAAAACACTCTGTGTTTTATTTATTGCGAAAAAGCGCAAAATATCTTAAATAATTTTTTGCATTAAATAAATAAATAAATAATTTATTAATCCTTCATTTTATAGTTTTTGGAGACAAATTGTTGTCTGATTTTTATAAAAATTATAAAAATAAATGATTGATCAATTATTTATTTATTTATTTTATTTTTTAAAAAAATTATTTAAGATATTTTACGTTTTTTATTTGTAAATTTACGCAATTTAGGTCTTTATTTCGAACTAAACATCAATTTTGGACAAGAGGGTGGTTCATGCAAACTTTCTATTAACACAAGAATTTTACGCATTTTGTGCATTTTTAGTAAAATATGTTATATAATTTACCCTAATTTAAACTCCAACCTCTCTGCGCCTAATAGCCTTTTCATTAACTCCATCATGTATGCACACAAATATCAATCAAGACCCAAACACTTTTATCACTTCCAACCTCAAGAAACAACTAACTAAAATACTGCCTATATGATCCTCCATCCAAACACTGAAAGAAGAGGATTATTTGGCCACAGATTATTCAATCTAACTCCACAGATCTTCATCAATTTCCAACATATAGCAAACACTTTATGGCATACCAGTTCAGCATTAATAAACATTCAGATGTCCTGATCTCAGAATTAGGTTCACATAACTCATCCCAAACCTCAACTAATTTTATTAAGATATCTCAGATGCATCATAATCAATTCTCTACATTATATTCCGACTACAAAGATCTCTTCCCCTCGTCCACATGACATTTGGGCAAAGCAGCCTCTTACATCTGTAATAGAACAAACTATGGAAGGAAGAATCCAGCCTGAACATCATAACCAATCCCCAGTCACATCCAAACAACTAGATTTGATCCACCTTTAGCCCCTCTCTTCGCCAGACCGTCGGCAAGACAGTTTCTTTCTCTGAAAATGTGAGTCACTTCCCCTAAATTGCAATGCGCGAAAAAAAATAAAAAAAACTAAATATTACAGTGGACTTTGGCATCCAACCTCCATGGTGTTAGCACACAAAACAATTTTTGGTGTACCGAAGAAAATAATTTTTGGTGTACCGAAGAAAATATTTAGTAGTTCGGGCAAGAAGGGAGATGAATCGATTAAGGTTGGGCCGGATACAACTCAAGAGGGGATCAAAAGAAATTAAGGCCAAATTTACAAATCGAACTGGTTGAAAGGAAAATCAAAAGGCCTCGTATGGCATTCAAGAAGATAATCATGGGCAATAAAAATTATAAGGAGGTTACATGGATTTAGTGATTTATTGGCCACTAATCTTATCATTACGAAGAGATTAAATGACCATTAGTCCATCAAGTAAGTGGAAGGTAGTGGCACTAAATGGAGTGTTGAATGCAAGCGTTACAAAAATTAACATGATGGCTTGGGAAGAAATGAAATAGATTAGCCGAGTTGTGCCAGGGGACAACCACATCTCAATCCACAAAATTATCTTTCTTTTCTTTACATTTTCCTTGCATTTTTTTTCTTTTGTCTTTGTAGAATAATGTTGAATCGATCTTGAATCAATACAACTAGTTTGCGTTGTATTTCTTCGATTATTATTCGGTTATTTGGTCCTAA